TGTGGGAGGTCAGCCTGTAGGAGGTCAGCCTGTAGGAGGTCAGCCTGTAGGAGATCAGCCTGTGGGAGGTCAGCCTGTGGGAGATCAGCCTGTGCGAGATCAGCCTGTGCGAGATCAGCCTGTGCGAGATCAGCCTGTAGGAGATCAGCCTGTAGGAGATCAGCCTGTAGGAGATCAGCCTGTAGGAGGTCAGCCTGTAGGAGGTCAGCCTGTAGGAGATCAGCCTGTGGGAGGTCAGCCTGTGGGAGATCAGCCTGTGCGAGATCAGCCTGTGCGAGATCAGCCTGTGCGAGATCAGCCTGTAGGAGATCAGTCTGTAGGAGGTCAGTCTGTAGGAGATCAGCCTGTAGGAGATCAGCCTTTGGGAGGTCAGTCTGTGGGAGGTCAGTCTGTGGGAGATCAGCCTGTAGGAGATCAGCCTGTGGGAGATCAGTCTGTGGGAGATCAGTCTGTGGGAGATCAGCCTGTGGGAGATCAGTCTGTAGGAGATCAGCCTGTGGGAGATCAGTCTGTAGGAGATCAGTCTGTATGAGGTCAGTCTGTAGGAGGTCAGTCTGTAGGAGGTCAGTCTGTAGGAGGTCAGTCTGTAGGAGATCAGCCTGTAGGAGATCAGCCTGTAGGAGATCAGCCTTTGGGAGGTCAGTCTGTGGGAGATCAGCCTGTGGGAGATCAGCCTGTAGGAGATCAGTCTGTAGGAGATCAGCCTGTAGGAGATCAGCCTTTGGGAGGTCAGCCTGTGGGAGATCAGCCTGTAGGAGATCAGTCTGTAGGAGATCAGCCTGTGGGAGGTCAGCCTGTGGGAGGTCAGCCTGTGGGAGGTCAGCCTGTGGGAGGTCAGCCTGTGGGAGGTCAGCCTGTAGGAGATCAGCCTGTAGGAGATCAGCCTTTGGGAGGTCAGTCTGTGGGAGATCAGCCTGTGGGAGATCAGCCTGTGGGAGATCAGCCTGTGGGAGGTCAGCCAGTGGGAGATCAGCCTGTGGGAGATCAGCCTGTGGGAGATCAGCCTGTGGGAGATCAGCCTGTGGGAGGTCAGCCTGTAGGAGGTCAGCCAGTAGGAGATCAGCCTGTGGGAGATCAGCCTGTGGGAGATCAGTCTGTGGGAGGTCAGCCTGTGGGAGATCAGCCTGTGGGAGATCAGCCTGTAGGAGATCAGCCTGTGGGAGGTCAGCCTGTAGGAGGTCAGCCTGTAGGAGGTCAGCCTGTGGGAGATCAGCCTGTGGGAGGTCAGCCTGTAGGAGATCAGCCTGTGGGAGGTCAGCCTGTGGGAGATCAGCCTGTGCGAGATCAGCCTGTGGGAGATCAGCCTGTGGGAGGTCAGCCTGTGGGAGTTCAGCCAGTGGGAGATCAGCCTGTGGGAGATCAGCCTGTGGGAGATCAGCCTGTGGGAGATCAGCCTGTGGGAGATCAGTCTGTGGGAGATCAGCCTGTGGGAGATCAGCCTGTGGGAGATCAGTCTGTGGGAGATCAGTCTGTGGGAGATCAGTGTGTAGGAGATCAGTGTGTAGGAGGTCAGCCTGTGGGAGGTTAGCCTGTGGGAGATCAGTGTGTAGGAGGTCAGCCTGTGGGAGATTAGTGTGTAGGAGATCAGCCTGTGGGAGATCAGTCTGTGGTAGATCAGCCTGTAGGAGATCAGCCTGTAGGAGATCAGTGTGTAGGAGATCAGCCTGTAGGAGATCAGTGTGTAGGAGATCAGCCTGTGGGAGGTCAGTCTGTAGGAGATCAGCCTGTAGGAGATCAGCCTGTGGGAGGTCAGTCTGTGGGAGATCAGCCTGTAGGAGATCAGTCTGTAGGAGATCAGTCTGTAGGAGATCAGTCTGTAGGAGATCAGCCTGTAGGAGATCAGTGTGTAGGAGATCAGCCTGTAGGAGATCAGCCTGTGGGAGATCAGCCTGTGGGAGATCAGCCTGTGGGAGGTCAGTCTGTAGGAGGTCAGCCTGTAGGAGATCAGCCTGTAGGAGATCAGTGTGTAGGAGATCAGCCTGTGGGAGATCAGCCTGTAGGAGATCAGCCTGTGGGAGATCAGTCTGTGGGAGATCAGCCTGTAGGAGATCAGCCTGTAGGAGATCAGCGTGTAGGAGATCAGCCTGTAGGAGATCAGCCTGTAGGAGATCAGCCTGTAGGAGATCAGCCTGTGGGAGGTCAGTCTGTGGGAGATCAGCCTGTAGGATATCAGCCTGTAGGAGATCAGTCTGTAGGAGATCAGTCTGTAGGAGATCAGTCTGTGGGAGATCAGTCTGTAGGAGATCAGTCTGTAGGAGATCAGCCTGTGGGAGGTCAGCCTGTGGGAGATCAGCCTGTAGGATATCAGTGTGTAGGAGATCAGCCTGTAGGAGATCAGTGTGTAGGAGATCAGCCTGTAGGAGATCAGCCTGTGGGAGATCAGCCTGTGGGAGATCAGCCTGTGGGAGATCAGCCTGTGGGAGATCAGCCTGTGGGAGATCAGCCTGTGGGAGATCAGTCTGTGGGAGATCAGTGTGTAGGAGATCAGTGTGTAGGAGGTCAGCCTGTGGGAGGTTAGCCTGTGGGAGATCAGTGTGTAGGAGGTCAGCCTGTGGGAGGTCAGCCTGTGGGAGATTAGTGTGTAGGAGATCAGCCTGTGGGAGATCAGTCTGTGGTAGATCAGCCTGTAGGAGATCAGCCTGTAGGAGATCAGTGTGTAGGAGATCAGCCTGTAGGAGATCAGTGTGTAGGAGATCAGCCTGTGGGAGGTCAGTCTGTAGGAGATCAGCCTGTAGGAGATCAGCCTGTGGGAGGTCAGTCTGTGGGAGATCAGCCTGTAGGATATCAGCGTGTAGGAGATCAGTCTGTAGGAGATCAGTCTGTAGGAGATCAGCCTGTAGGAGATCAGTGTGTAGGAGATCAGCCTGTGGGAGATCAGCCTGTGGGAGATCAGCCTGTGGGAGATCAGCCTGTGGGAGGTCAGTCTGTAGGAGATCAGCCTGTAGGAGATCAGTGTGTAGGAGATCAGCCTGTAGGAGATCAGTGTGTAGGAGATCAGCCTGTGGGAGATCAGCCTGTAGGAGATCAGCCTGTGGGAGATCAGTCTGTGGGAGATCAGCCTGTAGGAGATCAGCGTGTAGGAGATCAGCGTGTAGGAGATCAGCCTGTAGGAGATCAGTCTGTAGGAGATCAGCCTGTGGGAGGTCAGTCTGTGGGAGATCAGCCTGTAGGATATCAGTGTGTAGGAGATCAGTCTGTAGGAGATCAGTCTGTAGGAGATCAGTCTGTAGGAGATCAGTCTGTGGGAGATCAGTCTGTAGGAGATCAGCCTGTGGGAGGTCAGTCTGTGGGAGATCAGCCTGTAGGATATCAGTGTGTAGGAGATCAGCCTGTAGGAGATCAGTGTGTAGGAGATCAGCCTGTAGGAGATCAGCCTGTGGGAGATCAGCCTGTGGGAGATCAGCCTGTGGGAGGTCAGTCTGTAGGAGATCAGCCTGTAGGAGATCAGTGTGTAGGAGATCAGCCTGTAGGAGATCAGTGTGTAGGAGATCAGCCTGTGGGAGGTCAGCCTGTAGGAGATCAGCCTGTGGGAGATCAGTCTGTGGGAGATCAGCCTGTAGGAGATCAGCCTGTAGGAGATCAGTGTGTAGGAGATCAGCCTGTAGGAGATCAGTGTGTAGGAGATCAGCCTGTGGGAGGTCAGTCTGTAGGAGATCAGCCTGTAGGAGATCAGCCTGTGGGAGGTCAGTCTGTGGGAGATCAGCCTGTAGGATATCAGTGTGTAGGAGATCAGCCTGTGGGAGATCAGCCTGTGGGAGATCAGTCTGTGGGAGATCAGTCTGTGGGAGATCAGCCTGTAGGAGATCAGTCTGTAGGAGATCAGTCTCTAGGAGATCAGTCTCTAGGAGATCAGCCTGTAGGAGATCAGCCTGTAGGAGATCAGTCTGTAGGAGATCAGTCTGTAGGAGATCAGTCTGTAGGAGATCAGCCTATAGGAGATCAGTGTGTAGGAGATCAGTGTGTAGGAGATCAGTCTGTAGGAGATCAGTCTGTAGGAGATCAGTCTCTAGGAGATCAGTCTGTAGGAGATCAGCCTGTAGGAGATCAGTGTGTAGGAGATCAGTCTGTAGGAGATCAGCCTGTAGGAGATCAGCCTGTAGGAGATCAGTCTGTAGGAGATCAGTCTCTAGGAGATCAGCCTGTGGGAGATCAGCCTGTGGGAGATCAGTCTGTGGGAGATCAGTCTGTGGGAGATCAGCCTGTGGGAGATCAGCCTGTGGGAGGTCAGTCTGTGGGAGGTCAGCCTGTGGGAGGTCAGTCTGTGGGAGATTAGCCTGTGGAAGATCAGCCTGTGGGAGATCAGTCTGTAGGAGATCAGTCTGTAGGAGATCAGCCTGTGGGAGATCAGTGTGTAGGAGATCAGTGTGTAGGAGGTCAGCTTGTGGGAGATCAGTCTGTGGGAGATCAGTCTGTGGGAGATCAGTGTGTAGGAGGTCAGCCTGTGGGAGGTCAGCCTGTGGGAGATCAGTGTGTAGGAGGTCAGCCTGTGGGAGGTCAGCCTGTGGGAGGTCAGTCTGTAGGAGGTCAGCCTGTAGGAGATCAGCCTGTAGGAGATCAGTGTGTAGGAGATCAGCCTGTTGGAGGTCAGTCTGTAGGAGATCAGTCTGTAGGGCTGCGGTGAACAATTGCTCAAACATTTGTTGTATCAGTTCAGTGGGCGAAACAACATTTATTTAAAGCTCATGTTAATCTTCCACATGCAGAGATAAGATATATTACTGTTTCTGAGTGGAAGCACAGTGGTTTCCAGATATAATGGCATATCAGATATGTGAAATAAATCGCTGATATTATTGTTCAGCAACTCTCTCTTAATTTCATGTCTATCACTATCATAAAGAGAGTTCAAGATACCCAACAATGAACAGAAAACAATGAAGTTGTTTATAAATCTGATAAATAATGAGCTCTTAACTGAATTAAATTTTTGGGGTTTTAATGTTTGCTGTTTGAGTTTATTATAGTTGATCTTGAGGAAGCTTGTGTTTGTTCTTCTGCAGGATTCCTCTGTGGGCTGGAGTGCTGATAACCATCATCGACACGTTTGTGTTCCTGTTTCTGGACAAGTACGGTAGGTCGGCACTGAAGAGAGTGAGAGTGAAGAGAGCGACTCGTATCTCGATCTGATGAGCATGTCTGGTTTGTTTTGGTCAGGTCTGAGGAAGCTGGAGGCTTTCTTTGGGTTCCTCATCACCATCATGGCTATCAGCTTCGGCTACGAGGTTCAGTAAAGCTCGTTCTGTAGACTGGCTCTGTGAGGTAGACACCTCTCTGCAGTGTTTGAGCATGTGTGTGTGTGTATGCAGTATGTGCGAGTGGCTCCGGACCAGGCGGAGGTTCTGAAGGGCATGTTTCTGCCGTATTGCAGCGGCTGTGGACCCGAGCAGCTCAAGCAGGCCGTCGGGATCGTGGGAGCCGTAATAATGCCTCACAACATCTATCTGCATTCTGCTCTCGTTAAGGTCGGTGAACTGCACCAGACCTGATCAGAGTTAGAGTTAGACCCAACCACAAACCTAACAGCACCAGACCTGATCAGCTCACATATATTGGTTTGAAGGCATACCGTAAAACTTCAAATAATAGCTGAGTCCCAAATAGACGCCTGTCTCTTTTACACGCCGGGTGTGGCTGCAGGTTTGGGTAAATAAAAGCCGGTCTCAAATAGAGGCCGGGTCTGTTTTTTAGTTTCGATTTGTATTTAATCTTCTAAAACCCGTCAGATCGTCTGCTTTTTGGGCAGCCCCCAAAGCAAATTTTTGTCCCACCAAAGCCTTTTTTGATCGGTGAGTGATGTAGAATAGAATGACTGCTGCGCTTGACAGGGCGCATAACGAGCAGAGAGAGCGCTCCGGCCGCGCGCGCGCACTCTCACGTCTTCAAACAACACGAGCGCTGCCCTGCTCTCTCTCTCCCTCGCGCATATTAATCAAAATCAATGGACACGATAGTAAAAGATCGGCAGACCGCAGTTTCACGAGGAGCATTTGGAGATGTTTAGAGATTAGAGACTCTAGGCCTACAGTCAATGAACAACATCAACACTAAATTATAATAAAGGCCGGTCTCATATAGACGCCTGTCTCAAATACAAGCCGGTGCAGTTCGACGATTTGGGAAAATAAAAGCCCGGGCTACTATTTGAAGTTTTACGGTAGTTCATAAAACGTTGTGCTGTTAGCTGATAGACAGACAAGAATCCGTGCAGAGTTAGCAGATGTCCCGTGGCCTGACAAGGTAAACTTCATCTCAGAGTTTTCAAACAGCATTGTCTGTATTTCTGCATAAATTTGACATTAAAGGCACCAATATACTTTAAGCAAAAGTGAAGAACTGCTGTGACATAATTTCTAACAAAATCAGGCCAAAATGAAGTTCATTTGGAGTTTGTTTCGAGAGTTCGAAACAGCTTGCTAAAGCGAAATATCCGGAAAAGCTCCGGCTGGTAAACACCTTCGCACTCCCATTGGTCAGTGGTAATATGTGGGTGTCTAAGGCTCCGCCTCCTTTGAGGTGTAAATCTTCTCCGGTTCATTTCTTCTTTTCAGTCGGTCGAGGTTCAGACGCAAGTAAAAACATGAGACACTGAGAGATGCTTTATAGCAGAAAAGAAGAAAGTTTATTCTAAAAAGGGTCTTTTTTTTACAAAGACAATCCAATTAAACAAAAAACACAATGTCATTTCATACTTCTGTAAGTTTTATACTTCATAATTGTGGTAAAATAAGTGAATAAATCAATGAAAACATTTGTGTTATCACAATAATTGTTTTTACACCTGCGCTGAATCCACCTGATGTTTAATGACATATTTGGCTGATTGGTGTTTATCTTTGCTTCAGTCACGAGACATCGATCGAGGCAACAAGAAGGAGGTGAAGGAGGCCAACAAGTACTACTTCATCGAGTCCACCATCGCGCTCTTCGTCTCCTTCCTCATCAATGTTTTTGTGGTGGCCGTCTTTGCTGAGGCCTTTTATGGCAAGACAAACATGGAAGTGGTGAGGACTTATATCTGCCTCCTGTTAAAGACTCCTATATCGGTATGTTTGAGTGCGGTTCATCTGAACTCTCGGGTGACATGTTCCCTTCAGGGCCAGCAGTGTAACGCGTCTGGAAGTCCTCACAGCGATCTCTTCCCAGCCAACAACGAGACGCTGGAAGTCGACATCTACAAAGGGGTATGACAGGAACAATCGTTGGAATCATTTCACAATGAATACACTAGTGTCCAAAAGTCACATCCGGAGGGGAGATTAGATTTTAATGACACTTCAAGTTTGATTAAACCATCTAAATATGAGGAAAATATTTAATATTTATTAAACATGTTAAATATGAGGGAAGAACAAAACGCTAATCTTGGTTAAAATATTTACCTGACGAAATTAGTGGCAAAAAAGGCAAACTACAGCTAGGATTTATTTTACTATGCAAATAAAATGCACAGGGAAAAAGCACACATTGACAACAACATATTCAGTTATTAATATTTGGTTGGTTCTCTCTTGCTTTTGCATGTGGCCAAAAATGATGTCGCACAATTTGTCAATTTTCATTGCGTTATCACAAATAAAACAAGCACAACTACGCAATCTGATGACCTTGCCCTTCTCGTGTGCTGCATCAGACGGGGAACAGACCCTGAGGATCAGTATATTCATAACCTGATATGAGCTGAGGAGTTTGGTGATGGCGCCACCTGTGGGTCAAAAGTTCATGTACAATAGCTCAAGACAGCTGAATAGAAAACAATTAAACTAATAGATATCACCATACTTTCCCAGTATTGATTTGATTGATTTATATTTAAGAATTACAGACATGTTTGTATGACAAGTTTTATGAAATATTCAAATGAAATATGCACTAATTTGCTTGACTTTGTTGATTAGAGTTAAAGGTTTTTACAGAGGAGACTTTTGATAACAATCAGAAAATACTGTCAACAGACTGAAAACAGTTCACCTTTTTTTCACCAAATACATTTACTCACACTGTTTAGGAGTAAAATGTTGCATAAATCAGGTGAATGCTATCTAAACAAACCTTCAGAATATACATATAAATAAAAGTTTGGTGTGTGTAAAGCTGCTGAAGTGGAGATTTCTGACTCAAACTCACCGCCTTTAAAGATTGTTTATTTTATTGCACTTTCTATATTTGCGTCTGTAGATTTCACTTAAATGTGTCTCTTGAATGATTTCTTTCCAATAGTCTAAAAGAAACAGCCCAAAATTTATCAGTGAATGAAAAAATTGTTTTGCCTGTAGTGTGTTCCACTTTAATTACAATAATCAATGCAATTTTATATTCAGTCCAATTCTGACGTGGTTCATGTAAGGTTTCTGTGTTTATGAATGAATGAACAGTTTCTTTGATTGAAGGGTGTGGTCCTGGGCTGTTTCTTTGGCCCCGCTGCGCTCTATATTTGGGCGATTGGGATCCTTGCGGCTGGACAGAGTTCAACTATGACGGGAACCTACTCTGGTCAGTTTGTGATGGAGGTATGTTCATCTACAGATCTGCATGTTTCAGCTTCATTCCTCTGTATGTGTTCATGTAATGGCATTGCATTTGGGAATGTGCATCTGTACGAACTGGTTTTTCTCGCAGGGTTTCCTGAACCTGCGCTGGTCTCGCTTCGCTCGCGTGTTGCTGACGCGCTCCATCGCCATATTCCCCACTCTCCTGGTGGCCGTCTTTCAGGATGTGCGGCATCTCACAGGCATGAACGACTTCCTCAACGTGTTGCAGAGCATGCAGGTACACAGTTGAAACATGACGCCGTTGACACTCCTGCCGCCATAGACACTCCTGACGCAGTAGACACTCCTGACGCCGTAGACACTCCTGACGCCGTAGACACTCCTGACGCCGTAGACACTCCTGACGCCATAGACACTCCTGACGCAGTAGACACTCCTGACGCCGTAGACACTCCTGACGCCGTAGACACTCCTGACGCCGTAGACACTCCTGACGCAGTAGACACTCCTGACGCCGTAGACACTCCTGACGCCATAGACACTCCTGACGCAGTAGACACTCCTGACGCCGTAGACACTCCTGACGCCGTAGACACTCCTGACGCCATAGACACTCCTGACGCAGTAGACACTCCTGACGCCGTAGACACTCCTGACGCCGTAGACACTCCTGACGCCGTAGACACTCCTGACGCCGTAGACACTCCTGACGCAGTAGACACTCCTGACGCCGTAGACACTCCTGACGCCGTAGACACTCCTGCCGCCGTAGACACTCCTGCCGCCGTAGACACTCCTGCCGCCGTAGACACTCCTGACGCCGTAGACACTCCTGACGCCGTAGACACTCCTGACGCCGTAGACACTCCTGACGCCGTAGACACTCCTGACGCCGTAGACACTCCTGACGCCGTAGACACTCCTGACGCCGTAGACACTCCTGACCCTGACGCAGTAGACACTCCTGACGCAGTAGACACTCCTGACGCAGTAGACACTCCTGACGCAGTAGACACTCCTGACGCAGTAGACACTCCTGACGCCGTAGACACTCCTGATGCCGTAGACACTCCTGCCGCAGTAGACACTCCTGACGCCGTAGACACTCCTGACGCAGTAGACACTCCTGACGCAGTAGACACTCCTGACGCAGTAGACACTCCTGACGCCGTAGACACTCCTGATGCCGTAGACACTCCTGATGCCGTAGACACTCCTGACGCCGTAGACACTCCTGCCGCCGTAGACACTTCTGACGCCATAGACACTCCTGACGCCGTAGACACTCCTGACGCCGTAGACACTCCTGACGCAGTAGACACTCCTGCCGCCGTAGACACTCCTGACGCCGTAGACACTCCTGACGCCGTAGACACTCCTGACCCTGACGCAGTAGACACTCCTGACGCAGTAGACACTCCTGACGCCGTAGACACTCTTGACGCAGTAGACACTCTTGACGCAGTAGACACTCCTGCCGCCGTAGACACTCCTGCCGCCGTAGCCACTCCTGCCGCCGTAGCCACTCCTGCCGCCGTAGCCACTCCTGCCGCCGTAGACACTCCTGACGCAGTAGTCACTCCTGACGCAGTAGTCACTCCTGACGCCGTAGACACTCCTGACGCCGTAGACACTCCTGACGCCGTAGACACTCCTGACGCAGTAGACACTCCTGCCGCCGTAGACACTCCTGACGCAGTAGACACTCCTGCCGCCGTAGACACTCCTGCCGCCGTAGACACTCCTGACGCCGTAGACACTCCTGCCGCCGTAGACACTCCTGCCGCCGTAGACACTCCTGACGCCGTAGACACTCCTGACGCCGTAGACACTCCTGCCGCCGTAGACACTCCTGCCGCCGTAGACACTCCTGATGCCGTAGACACTCCTGACGCCGTAGACACTCCTGCCCCAGTAGACACTCCTGCCCCAGTAGACACTCCTGACGCCGTAGACACTCCTGACGCCGTAGGCACTCCTGACGCAGTAGGCACTCCTGACGCAGTACACTCCTGACGCAGTAGACACTCCTGACGCCGTAGACACTCCTGACGCCGTAGACACTCCTGACGCCGTAGACACTCCTGCCGCAGTAGACACTCCTGCCGCCGTAGACACTCCTGCCGCCGTAGACACTCCTGACGCAGTAGACACTCCTGACGCAGTAGACACTCCTGACGCAGTAGACACTCACTCCTGACGCAGTAGACACTCCCTCCTGACGCAGTAGACACTCCTGACGCAGTAGACACTCCTGACGCAGTAGACACTCCTGACGCAGTAGACACACGCAGTAGACACTCCTGACGCAGTAGACACTCCTGACGCAGTAGACACTCCTGACGCCGTAGACACTCCTGACGCCATAGACGTAGACACTCCTGACGCTGTAGACACTCCTGACGCCGTAGACACTCCTGACGCCGTAGACACTCCTCCCGCCGTAGACACTCCTGCCGCCGTAGACACTCCACTCCTGACGCCGTAGACACTCCTGACGCCGTAGACACTCCTGACGCCGTAGACACTCCTGCCGCAGTAGACACTCCTGCCGCAGTAGACACTCCTGCCGCAGTAGACACTCCTGACGCCGTAGACACTCCTGACACAGTAGACACTCCTGACGCAGTAGACACTCCTGATGCCGTAGACACTCCTAATGCCGTAGACACTCCAGACGCCGTAGACACTACTGACGCCGTAGACACTCCTGACGCAGTAGACACTCCTGATGCCGTAGACACTCCTGCCGCCGTAGACACTCCTGACGCCGTAGACACTCCTGATGCAGTAGACACTCCTGACGCCGTAGACACTCCTGCCGCCGTAGACACTCCTGCCGCCGTAGACACTCCTGACGCAGTAGACACTCCTGACGCCGTAGACACTCCTGACGCAGTAGAAACTCCTGACGCAGTAGACACTCCTGACGCAGTAGACACTCCTGACGCCGTAGACCCTCCTGACGCCGTAGACCCTCCTGACGCCGTAGACCCTCCTGACGCCGTAGACCCTCCTGACGCCGTAGACCCTCCTGACGCCGTAGACCCTCCTGACGCCGTAGACCCTCCTGACGCCGTAGACCCTCCTGACGCCGTAGACCCTCCTGATGCCGTAGACACTCCTGATGCCGTAGACACTCCTGATGCCGTAGACACTCCTGATGCCGTAGACACTCCTGATGCCGTAGACACTCCTGATGCCGTAGACACTCCTGATGCCGTAGACACTCCTGACGCCGTAGACACTCCTGACGCCCACTCCTGCCGCCGTAGACACTCCGGCCGCCGTAGACACTCATGATGCAGTAGACACTCCTGCCGCCGTAGACACCCCTGACGCCGTAGACACCCCTGAGGCCGTAGACACTCCTGACGCAGTAGACACTCCTGACGCAGTAGACACTCCTGACGCCGTAGACACTCCGGACGCCGTAGAGACTCCTGCCGCCGTAGACACCCCTGACGCCGTAGACACCCCTGAGGCCGTAGACACCCCTGAGGCCGTAGACACTCCTGACGCAGTAGACACTCCTGACGCAGTAGACACTCCTGACGCAGTAGACACTCCTGACGCAGTAGACACTCCTGACGCCGTAGACACCCCTGAGGCCGTAGACACCCCTGACGCAGTAGACACTCCTGACGCAGTAGACACTCCTGACGCAGTAGACACTCCTGACGCAGTAGACACTCCTGACGCAGTAGACACTCCTGACGCAGTAGACACTCCTGACGCAGTAGACACTCCTGACGCCGTGCCGTAGACACTCCTGACGCCGTAGACACTACTGACGCCGTAGAAACGCTACTGAACCCATGCAGCTCTTCTGATCTTCTGCTCTGTTTCCAACAGCTGCCGTTTGCTCTGATCCCCATCCTGACCTTCACCAGTCTGACGTCACTAATGAACGATTTCGCTAACGGACTGTAAGTATATATACTGTACTTGACTTCAAACTCGAGAAACAATGGGCTGTGTTTATATTCTGGGTTCATCTTTTCGCCTGTATATGCTTTTTCAGTAAGCTGTATACTGAATTTGGTCTTTTAATATCCCTGTTAGGGGTGTGAATCGTCACTCGTCTCACGATTCAATTCCATTACGATTATGTCAACGATTCGATTCAATATCACAATGCATCATGATGCGTTGCAATATCACTGCACATGGCTTCATTTTTGTCAGTTAATACAAGCTGTCGGATATGTGAACTTTTATTTTATTTTTTCCAAGTATGTACACTTCCTGAATGTAGTCAAACAAAACTTAAGTCTGAACACAGCAAACGACAGGAGCATTTATAACTAATAAACACACACACACACACTCAGTCGCATGCACACACACACTCTTACATTCAAAAATTCCATATTATTTCCTCCGGTCCGCTAATGTGTTATTTCGCCAACACTTCGTGGCCTATGCACACTAGCTTGCTTGATTTACGCTAGTTACGCGCATTTAAGCGTTACGTTAAGTGTTTCCCGCGTGAGGTACTTTGTGTTGTACGTTGCCATGGCGTTCACGTGCGCACGAAACTGCTACGATGGAACCTCAACGTTTCAGACAAAAATAGGCTGGTTACTTGAGCCGAAGCTCTTTGCAATAACATCCATGCAAAAGTTTTAGAATATAGTATTGTATATATTTTTCAGTTTTAGGCAAAACAGAAATACGACAAATAGAATATCAGATCTCTGTCATATGGCCAAAAATAAACGCAAAAAAAAGCTTTTTTGCATAGTTGGTTTGCATAGTTGGACACATGAAAACTGTAACAATGTCAATCTTACAAGGTGACACGATGTGACCTTGCTCTCACTTAAAATGTGTCCCCACATTAAGTCCTTGAATTTGAGGGTATTGGACCTGGAAAGTGCTTGAAAGGTCCTTGAATTCGAAGTCAACCAAGGTGTGGGAACCCTGAAATAGTGAGTGCATTTTTTTTATTACTTGACCTTGTGTTTGGCTTCCCTCCTCCAATTTACACTAGCACGAAAAGCGTGTATGTGAAATGTGAAAAATGACGACCGATGGAGGAAAGCCTTGCTTTGCCCTCCAATATAAGGGTGTGACGTCACGTTAAACTATGAATCGCACTGTATACAAAGCAGCTTCACAGTAGGAGAATGACGATCAGTGAGGTAAACTTCATCAAATCAGCCCGCTGTTTCAGTAGGTGGAGTTGCAGTATAGATCTGATCAACTGTTCCAGTCCTGTCGTGTGCTCCGGTGGACTGAGGATTGTTCTGTGTTTGCAGCGTGTGGAAGATCAGCGGTGGTGTGCTCATCCTGCTGGTGTGTGCCATCAACATGTACTTCGTGGTGGTGTACGTGACGGCCCTCAACAGCACCGTCCTCTACGTCTTCTCTGCCCTCCTCTCCATCGCATACCTGAGCTTCGTCATCTATCTGGTGAGATCATGCGCAGTGTCTGAACTCTAGACTCAAAGCATCCTTCATTTGAATGGCTCAGTTCTGCAGATCCTGCCGGTCAGCAGTTCGTCAGATGAAGTTTTAGACATCAATATTCCATCATATCCAGTGACAGAGTAAGAACAGCTGGAGCTGCGAGGTTTCTCTTTATAACACGCGTGATCAGCTGCCAGTGAGAGTCTGTATTAAATGGGGCTGGGACAATATATCGATGCATCGCGATTCATGGATCGATTCCAATTTTTTCAGAATGCATCGCAAATCGATTCTGAGCTTAGTGTTTAACAGCAGACGGTGCTCTAGGCTAGTGTTTAACAGCAGACGGTGCTCTAGGCTAGTGTTTAACAGCAGACGGTGCTCTAGACTAGTGTTTAACAGCAGACGGCGCTCTAGGGTAGTGTTTAACAGCAGACGGCGCTCTAGGGTAGTGTTTAACAGCAGACGGTGCTCTAGACTAGTGTTTAACAGCAGACGGCGCTCTAGGCTAGTGTTTAACAGCAGACGGCGCTCTAGGCTAGTGTTTAACAGCAGACGGCGCTCTAGGCTAGTGTTTAACAGCAGACGGCGCTCTAGGCTAGTGTGTAACAGCAGACGGCGCTCTAGGCTAGTGTTTAACAGCAGACGGCGCTCTAGGCTAGTGTTTAACAGCAGACGGTGCTCTAGACTAGTGTTTAACAGCAGACGGCGCTCTAGGCTAGTGTTTAACAGCAGACGGCGCTCTAGACTAGTGTTTAACAGCAGACGGCGCTCTAGGCTAGTGTTTAACAGCAGACGGCGCTCTAGGCTAGTGTGTAACAGCAGACGGCGCTCTAGGCTAGTGTTTAACAGCAGACGGCGCTCTAGGCTAGTGTTTAACAGCAGACGGCGCTCTAGGCTAGTGTTTAACAGCAGACGGCGCTCTAGGGTAGTGTTTAACAGCAGACGGTGCTCTAGGCTAGTGTTTAACAGCAGATGGTGCTCTAGGCTGGTGTTTAACAGCAGACGGCGCTCTAAGCTAGTATTCGACAGCAGACGGCGCTCTAGGCTAGTTTTCGACAGCAGACGGCGCTCTAGGCTAGTGTTTAACAGCAGACGGTGCTCTAGGCTAGTGTTTAACAGCAGACGGCGATCTAGGCTAGTTTTCGACAGCAGACGGCGCTCTAGGCTAGTGTTTAACAGCAGACGGTGCTCTAGGCTGGCGTTTAACAGCAGACGGCGCTCTAGGCTAGTGTTTAACAGCAGACGGCGCTCTAGGCTAGTTTTCGACAGCAGACGGCGCTCTAGGCTAGTGTTTAACAGCAGACGGTGCTCTAGGCTGGTGTTTAACAGCAGACGGCGCTCTAGGCTAGTTTTCGACAGCAGACGGCGCTCTAGGCTAGTGTTTAACAGCAGACGGCGCTCTTGGCTAGTGTTTAACAACAGACGGCGCTCTAGGCTAGTGTGTAACAGCAGACGGCGCTCTTGGCTAGTGTTTAACAGCAGACGGTGCTCTAGGCTAGTGTGTAACAGCAGACGGTGCTCTAGGCTAGTGTTTAACAGCAGACGGTGCTCTAGGCTGGCGTTTAACAGCAGACGGCGCTCTAGGCTAGTGTTTAACAGCAGACGGCGCTCTTGGCTAGTGTTTAACAACAGACGGCGCTCTAGGCTAGTTTTCGACAGCAGACGGCGCTCTAGGCTAGTTTTCGACAGCAGACAGCGCTCTAGGCTAGTGTTTAACAGCAGACGGCGCTCTAGGCTAGTGTTTAACAGCAGACGGCGCTCTAGGCTAGTGTTTAACAGCAGACGGTGCTCTAGGCTAGTGTTTAACAGCAGACGGCGCTCTAGGCTAGTGTTTAACAGCAGACGGCGATCTAGGCTAGTTTTCGACAGCAGACGGCGCTCTAGGCTAGTGTTTAACAGCAGACGGTGCTCTAGGCTGGTGTTTAACAGCAGACGGCGCTCTAGGCTAGTGTTTAACAGCAGACGGCGCTCTAGGCTAGTGTTTAACAGCAGACGGCGCTCTAGGCTAGTGTTTAACAGCAGACGGCGATCTAGGCTGGTGTTTAACAGCAGACGGCGCTCTAGGCTAGTGTTTAACAGCAGACGGCGCTCTAGGCTAGTGTTTAACAGCAGACGGCGATCTAGGCTAGTTTTCGACAGCAGACGGCGCTCTAGGCTAGTGTTTAACAGCAGACGGCGCTCTAGGGTAGTGTTTAACAGCAGACGGCGCTCTAGGCTGGTGTTTAACAGCAGACGGTGCTCTAGGCTAGTGTTTAACAGCAGACGGCGCTCTAGGCTAGTGTTTAACAGCAGACGGCGATCTAGGCTAGTTTTCGACAGCAGACGGCGCTCTAGGCTAGTGTTTAACAGCAGACGGCGCTCTAGGCTAGTGTTTAACAGCAGACGGTGCTCTAGGCTGGTGTTTAACAGCAGACGGCGCTCTAGGCTAGTTTTCGACAGCAGACGGCGCTCTAGGCTAGTGTTTAACAGCAGACGGTGCTCTAGGCTAGTGTGTAACAGCAGACGGCGATCTAGGCTAGTGTTTAACAGCAGACGGTGCTCTAGGCTAGTGTTTAACAGCAGACGGCGCTCTTGGCTAGTGTTTAACAGCAGACGGCGCTCTAGGCTAGTTTTCGACAGCAGACGGCGCTCTAGGCTAGTGTTTAACGGCAGACGGCGCTCTAGGCTAGTGTTTAACAGCAGACGGCGATCTAGGCTAGTGTTTAACAGCAGACGGCGCTCTTGGCTAGTGTTTAACAGCAGACGGCGCTCTAGGCTAGTTTTCGACAGCAGACGGCGCTCTAGGCTAGTGTTTAACAGCAGACGGCGCTCTAGGCTAGTGTGTAACAGCAGACGGTGCTCTAGGCTAGTGTTTAACAGCAGACGGCGCTCTAGGCTAGTGTTTAACAGCAGACGGTGCTCTAGGGTAGTGTTTAACAGCAGACGGCGCTCTAGGCTAGTGTTTAACAGCAGACGGCGCTCTTGGCTAGTGTTTAACAGCAGACGGCGCTCTAGGCTAGTTTTCGACAGCAGACGGCGCTCTAGGCTAGTGTTTAACAGCAGACGGCGCTCTTGGCTAGTGTTTAACAGCAGACGGCGCTCTAGGCTAGTTTTCGACAGCAGACGGCGCTCTAGGCTAGTGTTTAACGGCAGACGGCGCTCTAGGCTAGTGTTTAACAGCAGACGGCGATCTAGGCTAGTGTTTAACAGCAGACGGCGCTCTTGGCTAGTGTTTAACAGCAGACGGCGCTCTAGGCTAGTTTTCGACAGCAGACGGCGCTCTAGGCTAGTGTTTAACAGCAGACGGCGCTCTAGGCTAGTGTGTAACAGCAGACGGTGCTCTAGGCTAGTGTTTAACAGCAGACGGCGCTCTAGGCTAGTGTGTAACAGCAGACGGCGCTCTAGGGTAGTGTTTAACAGCAGACGGCGCTCTAGGCTAGTGTTTAACAGCAGACGGCGCTCTAGGCTAGTGTTTAACAGCAGACGGTGCTCTAGGCTAGTGTTTAACAGCAGACGGCGCTCTAGGCTAGTGTTTAACAGCAGACGGCGCTCTTGGCTAGTGTTTAACAGCAGACTGCGCTCTTGGCTAGTGTTTAACAGCAGACGGCGCTCTAGGCTAGTTTTCGACAGCAGACGGCGCTCTAGGCTAGTGTTTAACAGCAGACGGCGCTCTAGGCTAGTGTGTAACAGCAGACGGCGCTCTAGGCTAGTGTTTAACAGCAGACGGCGCTCTAGGGTAGTGTTTAACAGCAGACGGCGCTCTAGGCTAGTGTTTAACAGCAGACGGCGCTCTAGGCTAGTGTTTAACAGCAGACGGCGCTCTAGGCTAGTGTTTAACAGCAGACGGCGATCTAGGCTAGTTTTCGACAGCAGACGGCGCTCTAGGCTAGTGTTTGACAGCAGACGGTGCTCTAGGCTAGTGTTTAACAGCAGACGGTGCTCTAGGCTAGTGTGTAACAGCAGACGGTGCTCTAGGCTGGTGTTTAACAGCAGACGGCGCTCTAGGCTAGTGTTTAACAGCAGACGGCGCTCTAGGCTAGTGTTTAACAGCAGACGGTGCTCTAGGCTGGTGTTTAACAGCAGACGGCGCTCTAGGCTAGTTTTCGACAGCAGACGGCGCTCTAGGCTAGTGTTTAACAGCAGACGGTGCTCTAGGCTAGTGTGTAACAGCAGACGGCGATCTAGGCTAGTGTTTAACAGCAGACGGTGCTCTAGGCTAGTGTTTAACAGCAGACGGCGCTCTAGGCTAGTGTTTAACAGCAGACGGCGCTCTAGGCTAGTGTTTAACAGCAGACGGCGCTCTAGGGTAGTGTTTAACAGCAGACGGCGCTCTAGGGTAGTGTTTAACAGCAGACGGCGCTCTAGGCTAGTGTTTAACAGCAGACGGCGCTCTAGGCTAGTGTTTAACAGCAGACGGCGCTCTAGGCTAGTGTTTAACAGCAGACGGCGATCTAGGCTAGTTTTCGACAGCAGACGGCGCTCTAGGCTAGTGTTTAACAGCAGACGGTGCTCTAGGCTAGTGTGTAACAGCAGACGGTGCTCTAGGCTAGTGTTTAACAGCAGACGGCGCTCTAGGCTAGTGTTTAACAGCAGACGGCGCTCTAGGCTAGTGTTTAACAGCAGACGGTGCTCTAGGCTGGTGTTTAACAGCAGACGGCGCTCTAGACTAGTGTTTAACAGCAGACGGCGCTCTAGGCTAGTGTTTAACAGCAGACGGTGCTCTAGGCTGGTGTTTAACAGCAGACGGCGCTCTAGACTAGTGTTTAACAGCAGACGGCGCTCTAGGCTAGTGTTTAACAGCAGACGGCGCTCTAGACTAGTGTTTAACAGCAGACGGCGCTCTAGGCTAGTGTTTAACAGCAGACGGTGCTCTAGGCTGGTGTTTAACAGCAGACGGCGCTCTAGACTAGTGTTTAACAGCAGACGGCGCTCTAGGCTAGTGTTTAACAGCAGACGGTGCTCTAGGCTAGTGTTTAACAGCAGACGGTGCTCTAGGCTGGTGTTTAACAGCAGACGGCGCT